CTCAGCCCAAAATCTCCTTGAGCTGATAAGCAATTTCAGCAAAGTCTCAAGATACAAAATCAATGTGCAAAAATCACAAGCATTCCTCTACATCAAAATCAGACAAACAGAGAGCCAAATCATGAGTGAACTCCCATTCACAATTGCTACAAGGAGAATAAAATACCTAGGAATCCAACTTACAAGGGATGTGAAAAACCTCTTCAAGGAGAACTACAAACCACTGCTCAAGGAAATAAGAGAGGAAACAAACAAATCGCAAAACATTCCATGCTCATGGATAGGAAGAATCAGTATCATGAAAACGGTCATACTGCCCAAAGTAATTTATAGATCCAATGCTATCCCCATCAAGCTACTATTGACTTTCTTCACAGAATTAGAAAAAAAGACTTTAAATTTCATATGGAACCAAAAAACTGCAAATTAAAACCACAATGAGATACCATCTCACGCCAGTTAGAATGGCAATCATTAAAAAGTCAGGAAACAACAGATGCTGGAGACGATGTGGAGAAATAGGAACACTTTTACACTGTTGGTGGGAGTGTAAACTAGTTCAACCATTATAGAAGACAGTGTGGTGATTCCTCAAGCATCTAGAACCAGAAATACCATTTGACCCAGCAATCCCATTACTGGGTATATACCCAAAGAATTATAAATCGTTCTACTATTAAAACACATGCACACATATGTTATTGCGGCACTGTTCACAATGGCAAAGACTTGGAACCAACCCAAATGCCCATCAATGATACACTGGATAAAGAAAATGTGGTACATATACACCATGGAATACTATGCAGCCATAAAAAAGGATGAGATCACGTCCTTTGCAGGGACATGGATGAAGCTGGAAACCATCATTCTCAGCAAACTAGCCCAAGAACAGAAAACCAAACACCACATGTTCTCACTCATAAGTGGGAGTTGAACAATGAGAATACATGCACACAGGGAGGGGAACATCACACACCAGGGCCTATCATGGGGTGGGGGAGAAATACCTAATGTAGGTGACAGGTTGATGGGTGCAGCAAACCACCATGGCACGTGTATACCTATGTGACAAACCTGCACGTTCTGAACATGTACCCCAGAACTTAAAGTACAATTTAAAAAATGGAAAAAAACCAAAACAAAACAAAAAAAAAAACCAAAAAACCAGACATAGCCAATGGAACAGAAGAGAGAGCCCAGAAATAAATTCACATATATATGGTCAACTGATCTTTGACAAATGTCCAAAAACACATAATTAGGAAAAGAATGTCTCTTCAATAAATTGTGTTGGAGAGACTGCAGAAGAATGAAAATAGGTCCTTATCTTACCCCATATACAAAAATAGACCCAAAATGAATTAAAAACTTAAATGTAAAACCTGAAGCTGTAAAACTACTTGAAGAAAACAGGGTGAAAACTTCTCGACATTGGTCTTGGAAAAGATTTTTTTGATATGACCCCAAAAGCATGGGTAACAAAAGCAAAAATAGACAAATGGGACTGCATCAAGTTAAATAGTTTCTTCAGAGCAAAGGAAACAATCGATGGAATGAAGATACAACCTATGTAATGGGAGAAAATATTTGCAAACCATACATCTGATAAGAGTTTAATATCCAAGATGTAAAAGGAGCTCAACTCAACTACAAGAAAACAAATAACCCCATTTAAAAATGGACAAATGGCTTGATATTTCTCAAAAAAAGATATATGAATGGTCAACAGGGTATATGAAAAAAATGTTCAACATCACTAATCATCAAGGAAAAGTAAATTTAAACCACCAGGTAATATTACCTCACACCTGTTATCAAAAAAAATGGCTACTATCAAAAAGAAAAAATATAAGTACTGGCAAGAATGTGGAGAAAAGGGAACTCCTACACAATGTTAGTGAGAATGTAAATTAGTACAGCTTTATGGAAAACAGTATGGAAATTCTTCAAAAAAAAATAAAAATAGAACTACCATATGACCAAGCAATTCTACTTCTGAGTATACATCTAAAGGAAATGGGATAAATCATGTTGAGTAGATACCTATACTCCCATGTTCACTGCAGTATTAGTCACAATAACTACAATATGGAATCAACCTAAGTGTCCCTAAATGTAAAAATAGATAAAGATACAAATAAAGAACATGTGAAAGATAGATAGATAGATAGATAGATAGATAGATAGATAGATAGATAGATAGATAGATAGATAGATAATCTTATCCAGCCTTAAAAAAGAAGGAAATCCTGTCATCTGTAACAACATGGATGAAACTGAAGGGCATTACGCTAAGAAGTCAGGTACAGAAAGACAATTACTGCATGATCTCACTTATATGTAGAACCCCAAAAAGTCAAACTCAAGGAAATAGAGAACAGAATGCAGGTTACCAGAGACTGGGGTTGGAGAAAAATGGGGAGATATTAGTCAAAGAGTACAAAATTGCAGCTAGACAAAGGGAAAGTTTCTAAGAGAGTAGTTTTTAAGTGTTTTCACCAGAAAAAAAAGATATATATGTGAGGATTTGGGGTCTGTTACATAGCTTGATTTAGCCATTCCACAAAGTATGCACACATAAAAACATCACATTTTATACCATAAATATATATAATATTGCCAATAAAAAAAAAAATTTTTTCATGTGTCTGTTGGCTGTATGAATGTCTTCTTTTGAGAAATGTCTGTTCATATCCTTTGCCCACTTTTTGATGGGGTTGTTTGTTTT